GTTAACTATAATAATATCAGTTTTTTCTCATAAAATTGTTCTAATCCGACTCAAACAGTTCTGAATAAATCAGTGTTTGTTTGATTTTGAGGAAAAAACACACAACAAAAAAACACTTTTTCATGAATTTAAAGATTTTATTGTTTTATTTTTGTAAAAAGATGTAACAAGCTGTTGGATTAATGGGTTTATTTCATGGAAGTGACATTGAACTTGATATAAAACCATTAAACACACTTTATTTTTCTAAGATGCTAACAAAGAATGAAGACCTGTTTTTATTATTCTGGTGAGAAACAAACAAAAAAACATCTCAAACCATCAAGAGTCGAGCAGAAACTAAAAAACTGACACTGAACTTTGAAATTAGTCCTTAACTGGAGCTAAACACAGCTAAAATGATGCAGAAGAAGCTGAAAGGGTTTATTGAAAATGAACATTTAAAAACAGTCAATAATTAAGCTGCTTTAATTAAAACAGGATATAGAGTCGTACCGTGTTAACGAATGCAGACAGTACGGACGAGCAAACATCACAATCAGTTTTTACAACTTTTTGTAGCAACCAACTCTTTCCATTGGTGTGCCGTTAGTGCAAACCGTGTTCGTTTCTTTCTCTGCGCTCAGCTTTCATGCATTCTTTGTGCCGTCGGTTCAAGTCCTGGCGTCCAACAAGGAGAGTGTGAAGTTCAAGTGTCGGGCGTTTTTTTTTWAATTTACTTTTAAAGGTACTCGTCACAAAACAAGAACATGAAAATGTGTTCACAGAGAGCGCTTATAGTGATTCAGTTCTGAAAGGAGGGTCTGCACTCAATCTAAACAATAATGATGTGAATGTTGAGGCTTAGAATCAGAACAGAATTGGTTCATTTCTCCAGGTGAAGTTTGGGAYGTAGACGATCTTTGGCCTGAAGGAGATCAGTTTTTCAGGATTCTGTCTTTGCGTTGAGTACCTTTAAAGGCTGATTTTCTGGGACAGGTGTGGAGTCAGGTTTCACCCCGGGAGGACCATCCTCCACCTCCACCTCCACGCCTGCTTTTTAAAGACTCGATCCTCCCTCCAGGGTGAAACCTCGCTCCTGACAGCCGGTGGAGTCCGCTCTCCATCTGAGAAAGTCCCGTTTCCTGCCTGAAAACAAACTCAGAGTGATTAAGATAAAGGAAGAGAAGCAGGTGTGTTGTTTGTATCGTGGGAACATTTCAGTCTGTTGGGTTTTCTGCACTCGTCGCTCTGGAGGAGACGTTGGAGATACAGGAAGTCAAAGCGCCGCCCTGCAGGAAGTTTGTGGTCTACACTTGTCTGCAGGAAGCTCTGGAACTGGTGGGTTGGTAGGGTCAGAGTCTTTGTGGGGGGGTGGGGGTGGTCTTTCTCCTGCCCTCTGGACTCAGGAGCAGCCGCAGCGGTCCACCACCATGGAGGGCATCTTGCCGTAGATGATCTCCTCCTTGTGGTTAAAGTAGAGCATGTTGATGGGCGACATCTTGGTGGGGGTGCAGCAGGGGCCTGTGGTCCCTCTGGGGTTGGTGGCGGTCACCAGGTGGGTGTGGGGGTACTTCTGCAGGTGCATGTACTCGCACTCCCCGGAGCAGTAGTTGGCCTTGTAGCGCCTCGGGGCGATGATCCAGTCCCAGCCGAAGTCCTGGAAGTCCACGGTGAGCGAGTAGCGGCAGCACCGCGTCTCCAGAGAGTTCTCCACGCAGTCCAGACCCGAGCTCCTGGGGGCTCTCCTGAGACCCTCGGAGATCTTCACCTCCATGAAGGGTTGCTGAAAGGACAGGAGACGAGTGAAGGTCTGGCACACCTGCTGCGTGTTGGTCAACATTTAAAGCTTTTTGATTTTAAGGTTTATGTCAGGGCTATTCAACTGGYGGCCCGCGGGCCACATCCGGCCCGCGAGTGACCAAAGTTCGACCCACCAATTGGTTCATTCATCTCTGAAGTCCAAACCCCCGGTTTTCTACTTTAATTACTCTCAGTTCTTTTAATTAAACATAGACATGTTTGTATCTACAGAAACATCAGAATCTTGGCTACAAGCTGGTAAAAAACATTTCTATAAACACTCGAGACAGTTAAAACTACAAACAGCTGAAGATAAAATGATGAAAGTGAAAATAAAATTGGTTTAAAAATTTGGCAAATCAGAGATGTTAAAATATTATTTGTGTCAAACATGAGGCAGAATATGTTATTTTTGTTTTTGTTTTTTAATTATCATTACTTTTATAGGTTTCTGTATGTTGTGTTCAGGATTAAATGCAGCAAAATAAACTATTTCAAAGGTAACAGATCTTTGTAATACTTGGTTTATTTACACAATAACTTTAATTGCTGCATGTTGGGCCCCTCAGCTGTTGACCGGCAGTAACTGTGGCCCCCGGAGCAGTTTAGTTGATCAGCCCTGATTTATGTTTGTTTTTCAGCTTTTGAACCTTTTTGTTTGTTTTTTTAGCTTTTTTAAATTGAAAGCTTTTTTGATTTTGAATATTTTAAATTTTTTTTAGTATTTTAAGCTTTTTGTTAGTTATTTTTTCAGCTTTTTTGTATTTTCAGCTTTTTTAAAATTAAAATCCTTGTAACATTTTATGTTAATTTTTTTGTTATTTAGTTTTAAGCTTTTGTTTATTTTCTGTTTTTCTATTTAAGCTGTTTTTAGTTTTTTAAGCTTTTTGATTGTTATTTAGCTGTTTCCTTTTTTAAGTTTTTTTGTTTTTGAATATTAAATACTAAACTTTTTTTAGTATCTTAAGCTTTTTTCTATTTTAATCCTTGTTCCGTAGCATTTTAACCTTTTTTGTTCTTTAGCATTTCTGAGCTTTTGTTTGTTTTTACAGATACAGTCAGAAGTTTCCATCTTAATGATTAAACAGCAGAAAGTTTTAAACAACAAAAATGTGAAAGAGTTTGAAATTATGATTTTCTCTGATTCACAGGCTCAAATCCATCCAACAATAAATAATCAAATATTCGTTAGCAGCGTTTAGGCTTTTTTTACTCCACAAGCTTCTGGTAGAATCCTGGCTGATATTTGAGTCTTTTATTTTGAAAAATTTGTTGGTTTCCTGGTTTAAGACCCCCTTTTTAATGGAGCTGAGGTCTTGTCTTTGGGAAGCTGGTTCCAGCTGTTGGTTGGGGCTGAAGTAGAAGCATGATGCTGCCACCGCCGTGCCTGACACTTCAGTTTTCTCAGTCTTTGTCTCATCTGACCTCAAGCTTTACTCCAGAAGACCAGCTGCAGTCAATCATGATCGCTAACAGGAAGTTAAAGGGGTTTGGACTTAAGTTAAAATCCCTTCAACATGTTTGAGTCTAAATCCACACTAAAATCTAAACTTGTTTTAAAACTAAACTGTTGAAACAAACATTAAAGCAGCGAGTCAAACGTGTTTAAACCCTGATGGTTGGTTTGCTGCCTCGGTGCGCGCGCCTGCGTGCGTGTGTGTTTGTAGGCAATTACTCTGAGGAATGCGGGTAAACTTTTATGTAATCAGGTAATAAGATTTGGGTCTGATGCTGGCAGGTGCGCGCCACCGTGGAGTCTGTGTTGATTAACAGCTTTCAAAAGGTTTTTAGGTCCTGACTCCTCCTCCGTCCTGCAGCTCCTGCTGCTTCAAAGTCAGGATGATGGTTTTATAACTTCTACTCACCAGACCCTCCTCTGAGGAGGTCAAGGCCAAATCGTCGCCCTTCGAGTCGAAAGCGTTGATCTGGATGCCCCAGTTGGTCTCGGGCTGCCGGAGCCACACGGCCACCAGCTGCTTCACGTCGATGCTCTTCCAGGAGCCGACCCCGGCGCTCACGTCGATCTTCAGGGACCGGATCCCTATGTGCCTGGTCCCGTCCGAGGCCGGCATCAGGCGCGAGATTTTCAGGAACACGGTGGTCGCCTCGTCCGCGGGGCGCAGGTGTAACCAGAGCTGCGCGCTCACGATCCGGCTGGCTTGGAACTTGTTGCTGAAAGAGAAGAAGCAGCACCTCGGCTCCCCGTCCACCTGGACCGCGGAGTCAGCTGCGGAGAGAAGCGGACAAGGTTCTGTCAGAAATCAGCAAAAACTCGGGTTTTTAACCTTTRTCACATTTTAGAACAACATGTTCAYAATAAAAACCAGGATAATGCGTAAATAAAAACCGTTGTGCGTAAATGCGCATTTTACGCACAAGATGGCGCAAAAAGTTTAAAAAATGTACGCACATAATATGCAAGAAGAGGATTTAGTTTGCACAATAAAATGTTTTTGGTATGTGCGTAATTACGCACAGAATGCGAAAACCAAAACCGTTCCTTTCCTACTCTGTGCGTAAAAACGCATTTTACGCACAGAACGCGCAAAAAAGTGTTTTTGTTTACAAATGTACGCACATAATGTGCAAGAACAGGATTTAGTTTGCACAATAAAACGTTTTTTTGTCTGCGTAATTACGCACAGAATGCGCAAACCAAAACCTCTCCGTTCCCACTCCGTGCGTAAAAGCGCATTTTACGGTTCAGTTTCMTCCAAAAGCTCCTGGAAACAGACTCACGTTCAGTGGCCATCATCATGACCGTCTCCGTGGTCGCGTGCTCGTCGTCCTCCTCCAGAACCCGGTCCCGGTTGTCGTCTCCCAGCACGTCGTACTGGTCCAGCAGCTGCTGCAGCGGCGGCGCGGCTTTGGGCAGGAGCTGCTTCACCGCCTCCCGGCTGATGTTCGGAGCCTCCTTCATCCGCAGCTTGCTCAGGATCTGGGACTTGATGGCGTCCAGCCGCATGGTTCTGATCTGCTGCCGGAACTCGCAGGTCGCGCACTGCTCCGTGTCCGCGGTGCTCGTGTCGCGTGGCAGCAGCTGGCGCGCGTCGTGGTCGGTCAGGGCAGCTGGAGCCACGGCGGCCAGCAGGCAGAGGCACAGGGCAGTGTGAGCCGCGGGCATCGCGTCACAGGARGGGTCGCTTCTGGTTCGGGATGAAGGAGAAAAGTCCTTTGATGTTGGATAAACGAGCCTCACTGAGCAGCGTCACGCTCCATCAGCGCGCGCTCCTTTTTATACTTCAAACTGCACCTCGGCTCGTGACGTCACAGACCAGGATTGGCTGCAGAATCAAACTTTACCCGAGTGACGGATCTGCAGCAAAATACCTCATTATTAATGTGTAAATGCTGAGTCAGCATTGTTCTTTACTTTTTATATAACTTGTAACTGTGTAACTTTTAGCTACTGTTTTTGCTTATTAACAATTGAAGCTACTGTTTTGCTAAACTGAGCTTTTAGCTACTGTTGTGTAATATAAGCTTTTAGCTAATTTATGCTTACTTTAGATATCAGCTAATGTTTTGCTCATTTTCAATTTTAACCTAACTTRGCTTTAAGCCACTGCTTTTGCTAGTTTTAGCTTTAAGGTTCTATTTTGCTATTTAAAATTTTAGCCAGTTTAACCTATTTTAGCTTTTAGCTGTTAGTCTCCCCAATTTTTAGCTTATAATGACTGTTTCCTTTTTTGTTTTGGCCATATTTTTTCTAATCCTAGATTTTGCCTACTGCTGTCAGAATTAACATTTAGCTACTGTTTAATCATTTTAGTTTTAGACTAAGGGTTTGCTATTTAGAATATTAGCTTGGGCCTGGGGGGTATAATGTATGTATGGGGAGTGTGAGTGGATTGTGGCGTCCATCTTGTGTGTCTTTGAA